ACCCCAGCGTTGGTTTTTGACACCGCAGGGATCGTTTAACCTTGAACGATCGGCCGCTGCCGCAACGTCCGATCGTTCAACATCGATCGATTCTGGGTCGCCGGCGGCGTTCAACCTTGAACGCCCGCGCTGGGGTCGCCGCTGGTCGACACGACACGAACCTACCGTACGCCCACCACCTCACCCTGCGTCAGTATTCGTTTCATCCGTGGCCCCACGTCGGGCTGGGAGGCGGTGGCCGCCAGCGTCGGAGAGCACGCCGCCCAGGTCCACCTCCAGTGGCGAGGCCGGCGAGGGGCCGTCCGTGAAAGTCTCTACCTGCCTTCCCTGGAGCCGCTGGATTTGGCTGGGGGTGCTGGCAGTGGGGGGTGGTACGGTCATCGCACTACCATAAGGAACGCATACGAAGGGGCCCTGGGACACACAAACAAATACACACGCAAATAACAGGATTCCCCATATTTTTCCATGTTCTCTGGGTTTTAGTCCTCCCCCCCACTTCCTACATTGTCTGGGTAACCGACGATGAATTGTGTCTGTGTGTGTGTGTTCTTGCTCCCTCCGGAGCATAACCAGTAAGGAACGCGTGCGAAAGAACGAATCATCTTTCACGGCCACAGCGGGCCTGCCACAAACACGTTCCACGACATGCGCGTAAGGAAAACGGCCGGAAACCCAAAAAGCCCCTCCCTGGCCCCAACGCGGTCTTGTCAGCGCCTTGGTGGCAGGGGGCCTCGCTGCAGGGCCGCTGCCCTTCCCCACTACCGAGGCCTCCTGGATGGGGGCGGGGTAGGTGGGAGTCGGAGGATCGCGCCGCATCGCCCATACATCCGCGACGTATCGACGATGCACCGGCGGTGCAACGCCGACCTCGGCGATGCATCGGCGACGTCGACGTGAAGCGGATCGGCCTCCACGTCGAGCCGCATCGGCGATGCGTCGGCGGTGCGGCACGATCCTCCGACCCCGTCTGCTCGGACCCCATCCGGGAGGTCTGGATGGCAGTGGGGGGCCTCGCCGCTTCGCGATGCAGGGCCGCACGCCGTCCTTCCCCATGGAGGAGATGGAGGAGGAGGAGATGGAGGAGGAGGAGGAGGAGGAGGAGGAGGAGGAGGAGGAGGAGGAGGAGGAGGAGGGCGGCAGTAGGGAGGAGGAGGGGGCAGGGAGAAGGGGAAGGCAGGAGGAGGCAGAGAGGCAGGAGGAGGAGGAGGAGCAGACCCCCCGCTCCATGCGGTCGCGCGTTCAGCGCGCACTTCTCCGCTGTTTCTCCAGATTCCCGAGGCGTGTTGGGCAACAGGACGCGCCCTGCGCGGTCCGCCCCTCCCGCACTCCTCCTGCACCTTCCTCCCTCCATCCACGTCCGTCCTGCTCATCCTCCTCATCCTCCTCCGCCACTCCCTCCCCCCTAAACTCTCCTGCTCCTTCTCCTCATTTTCACGTTGCTCCTCCCCTCCCCCCTGCCCCCTTTCTGCATCCCATCTTTCCTGCTGTCATTCTCCTTCATTCCCCTCCTCCTCCTCTTCCTTCCCCTCCTCCTCCGCATTGCCCCCTTTGGAGCCACCGGCAAGAGAGGAGCAGGATGAGGATGAACAGTAAGAGGATGATGAGGAAGATAAGTATACTTGATCAAGGCGATAACCTGATGCTGTGGGCCTGGCCGACAGCGAATACGATGAAAGAAGATGAGGGGAGTGTGGAGGAGGGGGATAGGGAGAGGAATGAAAGGGGCAGGAGGATGGGGAGGCGACGGCCAAAAGGGAGAGAAAGGGGCGAGCGGTGGGATGGAGTAAAGTCGCGAGTCGCACGTGGGGGGGAGGGGAGGAAGGAGCGAATTGCGTGGACAACGGAATCGTGAGTTGAGCGAAGAGGGGGGGAGGGAACCGAGGAGACAGGAGCGAGTGGGGGGCATGAGCGCATGTGTCCATTGGGGGGGGGGGTGACGCCGCAGGCTTCGCCGACGACGTGCGGACAGAAAGGGGTGGGGGACAGGAGGGAGGGAACGAATCGGGGGACAGAAGCGGGACCGGGTAGGAAGGGAAGGAGACCCCACGGTCGGTGGTTCAAAGATGGGGTCCTGAAGGATGGGGCCCTGAGGACGAGGTGCCTCGAATCATGTAAAATCCACCATTCGATCCCTTCCCGTGCTGAGGCCCCCATCCCTCAGGACCTCCTCTTTGGTACCCACCGACACGGAGCGGGGTCACAACCATGCCGCCCCCTCCCGACTGCATGCCGCGCTCCCGGGGCCACGACCTCTCGCAGAGTACACGCCATTATACGCTGGCAGGGCCGCTGCCCCCCTCGCAGAAAAACTACGATGCATCCGAGCTCCCAGGGCCACAACCCCTTCTCGGGGGCGCGCACACATGGATAGGAAAGCACCAACTATACACCAACGCCGATCCTGGCCAGGATCACCCTGGGCCCAGGATCGGTGTATACGCCCTCCTGCATTGCGCAAGAAGGCATATACACCGATCCTGGGCCCAGGGTGATCCTGGGCCAGGATCGGTGTTGGTGTATAGTTGGTGCCCTCCGAATGGATTCGCGATCCACGGATCTGGCGCGCGGTCGCCGAATCCGTGGACCAGGGGCCGGCGGCCCTACCCAAAACGCGGCCGGCGCCGCCTTCTTTCGGCGGCGGAAATTTCCGCGATTTTTCCCACGGACACCGGAGCCGTCGCTAATCCACGCCCCCTCGATCCCTGTTTGCGATCGCCGGACCTTCGCGAGCCACGAAGGGTCGGAGCTCCCACTGCCACGATCCGTTCGAAGATGGATTACAAGGAGAATCCGAGCTCCCCCGGCCGTCGTTCCCTCGGGAGCCCTCCCCCCTCTCTCCCGTCTCTCCCACGTCCTCCCTCGCTCCAGCCCCCCATCCCTGGAGACCCGATTGGTTGGCTCTGCCCCCGCGGGATCGCTGGTGAAAAACAGATATATCCTCCACTTCAAGTTCTGCGGCCGTGGAAATCCCGACCCCTTCCCCTGGGGCGGTTTTGCGCCCCAGATCCGTTTTTGGTGGTGATGGCCACGGGGCACGATGACAGGCCCTGGAGGCCGAAATCGAGGAACAACAGTGGGGCTGAACAAATCTCACCCTCGGAGCCATGGCTGTCGGCCCACACCTCGGGCCTCTGGCGGCCCGTCGGGGCGATCCGGGCCCCCCCGGGAACGCTCTCGACGAGGCGCGGCCGCTGCCGAGTATCCCGAGACTGGAAAACCTTTGGGAGCAGGCGAGCACGTCCGAAAGCTCGTCCAGAGGCCTCCCAGATGGGGTCGAAGTGGTGGGGTCGGAGGGTCGCGCCGCATCGCCAATGCATCGGCCCTGCATCGGGCCGTCAAAAACAAAAAAAAAAAAACAAAATAAAAAAAAAAAAAAAAAAAAAAAAAAACAACAAAAAAAAAAAAAAAAAAAAATAACAACAAAAAAAAAAAAAAAAAAAAAAAAAAAAAACAAACAAAAAATAAAAAAAAACAAAAAAAACATAAAAAAAAAAAATAAAAAACAAAAAAATACAAAAAAAAAAAAAAACAAAATCAAAAAAAAAAAAAAAAAAAAACAATCCGTGTGAGGACATCCCGGCTCACATCGAGCCCCACCGGTGATGCATCGGCGACGCGGCGCGATCCTCCGACCCAATTTACTTCGACTCCATTTTAGAGTGACGCGCTACGCGTCGGAGACCGCGAATGCGAACCGAAAAAACGCCGAAAACCTCTAGCCTCGAACCCTAGGGTCGACGATCTATCCCTGGACCTCTCCTGGAGCGCGTGCTGACCAGAATCTCGAGGCGGATCCAGCCGTGGCTACGAGAGCGCCCCAGGATGACAAGAAGCATCCAGAGAACGAGCCTCGATCCTGGATCCGAAAGCTCGTCGGAAATCGCGAGAGCGACCGCCGTCGAACGATTCGTGAGATCCGACTTTGCCAAAAATTGACGGTCCACCTCCGGAACACTCTTGATGAAACGCGGCCGTTGCAAAGCATCCTGGGGCTGGTAAACCTTTCTGGGAACTGGCGAGCACGTCCGAAAGCTCGTCGGAGATGTCGAGCGCGACCTCCGTAGACCAACTCGTTCTGTTCTGAAGATTTTGAATTTTCAGTTGAGGTTTTGCAGAAGTAATCGTGAGGAGGGCCCCGATCGATCCCCAGACCAGTCCTGATCACATTCTGATCAGGATTTCGAGGCGAACCCAGCCATAGCGTCACTCATAGTGCTCCTGTCCCTGTCCAAGGACCTGGGGTGGGGCCGACCCCCCTTGGGGACCGTGGTGTGGATGGAGGGGGGGACGAAGCGCCCCTTCTTCCCCCAATCGGTGGCAGGAGACAGTTGAGTGATAGTGACTAGTTGTAGTGAGGTGCCCGCTGCTCCCAGAGTGACAGGGCACCTTTGTGGTCTGAGCGGTCTGAGCTGTCTGAGCGGAGGAGGAGGAGGAGGAGGAGGAGGAGGAGGAGGAGGAGGAGGAAGGGCAGAGGAGGACGGAGCGGCGGGGGCGGGGAAGGAGGACTCCGCAGCCCAGTGTGGACTGCGCCCTCCAAGGCGCTGGCACGGTTGTCAATTCCTCTCCGCAATTCTGCCTGCTGTGCCGCTGCTCCGTGCTTCACCCTGTGGGCTTCTCGTCTCATCTCTCCACTGTGGCGTCGACTGTCCGCCTTCGACCGAACTCGAACCCGAGGAGAAGGCGGAGGAGGAGGAGGAGGAGGAGGTGGAGGGGGAGGAGGAGGAGGAGGAGGAGGAGGAGGAGGAGGAGGAGGAGGTGGAGGAGGAGGAGGATGGGTAGGAGGTGGGAGGGAGGCGGTGAGAGGAGGAGGAAGAGGAGGAGGTGGAGGCGGAGGAGGAGGTGGAGAAGTTTGAGGAGGAGGAGGCGGAGGCGGGGTTTGAGGAGGAGGAGGCGGAGGAGTTTGAGGAGGAGGAGGCGGAGGCGGAGGAGGAGGAAACTGGTCGGGTCCTGGCCGCACTCCGCTCGAGCCCTGGACCTTTGCCGCGGGGCGGCGGCGCCTGGCGGCGTGCCCGCGCCGCCAGGCGAGGCCGTGCGCGGTGGCGCCTCGGGCCACGCGGCCTGCGCGGGGGGCTGCGCTGGCGACCTGCGGGGGGCGCCGTCTGTCGAAACGGCACGTCGTCGTCGTCGTCATCGCCGTCGTCGTCGTGGTCGTCGTGGTCGTCGTGATCGTGGTCATGATCGTGGTCGTGGTTGTGGTCGTGATGCAGCAAGGAACCATGCGGACCCCAGTCTCACACGCCCCCACCATCTCTGTCATACAAAAAAAATCCAGAATTCAGTTTGCCTGCGCAGTTGGAGCATGTGCGGCCAACCCGAAGCGCCCCCCCCACACCATCCCTGTCAAAAAACACTACGTAATACACTGTGGCGCAGAATATGGAATCAAGTTCGTGAGGCCCGCGAACACTGTGTATTGTTTTTGACAGGGACGGCGTGGGTGTCAGCAAATTGCCTCCTGTGCGCAAAGCTACCACCTGTGACAAACTAGCCTGGCGAAAGGCCCAACCGTGTGCAGTTGTGAATACAGCAATTGTGAATATCATATACGCCCGCGCTCCCTATGGGGCCACGAACCGTGCGGGGGGCGTGCCGACACGCGTGGCGGGGCGCGCAACGCGTGCGAAAACGATAGATCTGTGTGCGAGAGACTGAGAGCGGGTGGGTGTGAGCACGAGTGGGTCTGATTGTGGATAAGTCTGCGCGCGCGTGAGCCTACGTACACAAATGTCGACGCCCATGTTGGCACGCCTCTCACGAGGATCGCGCCCGCTTCCTTCCCGTTCTTTGTCTACCTCTTTGCCCGTGCACGCCCATGTCCACGGCTGCGGGCGCGGCGCCGCACGGAGTCCCCGCGACGCGCGCTGGTCGCCCCGAAGGGGGCCCGTCGACGCGCTCGGGCCGTCCGTTGCGAGGAGCAGGGAAAGCTAGCAGGGCTGCTGATAGCGGGCAAGGCTGTGGCCGCTGGGCGGAGCGACGACGGGGGCGAGCGACGCGCTGGGCAGAGCGGTGGTGCCATGCGGACCCTTCCACGGAAACCTTCGGTGGAGCTCCCTATGGGGCCACGGAACGTGTGAGGGGTGTGCCGAAATGGGGCGGTGGTGCCTTGCAGACCCTCCCGCTAAGGCCTTCGGTGGAGCCCCCCATGGGGCCACGAAACGTGTGAGGGGTGTGTCGACATGGGGCGGTGGTGCCATGCGGACCTTCCCGCTGGGGCCTTCGGTGGAGCTCCCTGTGGGGCCACGAATCGTGTGAGGGGTGTGCCGACATGGGGCGGTGGTGCCATGCGGACCCTGCCAAAGGGGCCTTCGGTGGAGCTCCATGCGGGGCCACTATGACTCTACATCTGGAGCATCCGCGGGCGGCCCACGACCACTTTGCATTGCTTCTTGGCAGGGACAGCGTGGGTGCCGTCATAGTGCTCGCTGCGCGCAAGCCAACCATCCCTGCCAAAAAACGATACAGAACCTACTTTGCCTCCACATCTGGAGCATGCGCGGGCGCCCCACGACCACTTTGCATTGGTTCGTGACAGGGACGGCGGAGGGGTGCTGGCACACTGCTTAAACGTGAAGCACGTGCCGCACCTGGCGCGCCTGGCGCGCTTGGGCCTCCAGGGTGCCTGGTGCACCTGGGACCTGTGGCGCACATGGCATGCGTGGCGTTCCTAAGCACTATGCTGAGACTCCCTCGGGTGTTGCTTATGTGTGGGGAGGGCGGGTGGGAGTGAGCGAGAGACGGCTTGCGGGCGAAGGGGGGCCTCGATTAAACCCTCCCATCCCCTCCCCCCGATTCTTTCAAACCCGCCTCTCCCCTCCCCCCGATCCCGTTTCTGGGGAAATCAAAGGGTACCGGTACCGCTACTCCCTGGACCTCTCCCGGGGTGCGTTCTGACCAGACTTTCAAGGCGAATCCAACCGTAGCGACGAGATCCTGCCAGGAGGGCGAACAAAAAATGAAAACGGCGAAGGGTAGCGGTATGGGTACCTTTTCCTCCTCTGAGTTTCTTCTTTCTCGATTTGACCTCGACCGCGGCCGAAGGGAAGCGTGGCCGCCGGCGTGTGCACACCTCGCCGGGGCACTTCTCGCTGGGTGGGCAACGCGCGGGGCGCGCCTGCCTCGCGGGGCGCGGGTCGGGCGCGCCTGCCCGCGCGGAGGCGCAGTCCGGGCGCAATCGGGCGCGCTGCGCGCGGCGGGGGCGGCAGTCCCGGGCGCAGTCGGTGCGCAGCCCATGCAGGAACGAATCTTCTGGAAGAGCAGCCTGTTCCAGAAGGGAGAGAGGTGGAGGTGCGACGAGGAGGAGGAGGAGGAGGAGGAGGAGGAGGAGAGGAGGAGGAGGAGGAGGAGGAGGAGAAGGAGCAAGGAGGAGAGGGCAATAGTAAGAGGCTTGAAACCCAGGCCAGCCTGCAGGCGATTGCCCCTGACCCAGGCGCCCTGGGGGACGAACACTCCCGCCGCCGAGCTCAGAGCACTCCCGCCGCCGCAGTCGGGGCGCAGTCGTGCACGCTGGACCGTGGACTCGTTCACTCAAAGTGTGCGGGGGGTCAGCCGCCTTTCCTAGGGCTCCCAACTTCGCGCTTCGCGCTCCGCGAAGCGCGAAGCGCGAATAACTTCGCGCTCTCGCGCCGCCCCCCCAGAGGGAGAAGAGGAGGACGAGGAGGAGGGGGAGAAGGAACGAGGACCGCGAAGCGCGAATAACTTCGCGCCCTCGTGGGAGCCCTTGCCTTTCTGGCTCCAGCAGGGAATCATTGCTCCCGCGCCCGTCCGCCCGGGCAAGAATCCCAAGCTTGGGACTTAGGGGCCTCGTTCCGTCACGAATGTGACCAAGGCGTGGGGAGACCACAAGGTACCGATACTGCTACTCCCCGGACCCTTCCTGGGGTGCGCTCTGGCCAGGACTTCGAAGCGAACCCAGCGGTGGCGACGCGGGCCTCCCAGGAGGCCACCGAAAGGGGAACCTGGTGGAGAAAACACGAACCCGGGGGCTCGCCGCCAAAACGGTAGCGGAACGCACGCAAACCTGAGGAACGACCGAGCCCCTTTCGAAAAGTAAAGTGTTCCTTACTCAAGGCTCTCACTGTAGATCTGTGGGTGCCCTTTTCTCCTCCGAGTCCCTGCGCAGTCCGTGCAGTCGGGGCGCCTCCCGCGCGGGAGGCGCCGTCGGGCGCGCTGCTCGCGCGGGGGCGCCCCCCCGCCCCCCCGCGCGACGCGCAGGGAGTGCCGAGAGCGCGCCCGAGGCCCTGGCGGCCCGAGGCCTCGGCGACCTGGCCAGCGGCAGCGGCCCCCGATCGCCCGATCGCCGCCGCCGTCGTCGCCGCCGCCGTCGTCGTCGCCGCCGCCGTCGTCGTCGTCGTCGTCGTCGCCGCCGCCGCCGTCGTCGTCGTCGTCGTCGTCGCCGCCGCCGCCGTCGTCGCCGCCGTCGCCGCCGCCGCCGCCGCCGCCGCCGTCGTCGTCGTCGTCGTCGTCGTCGTCGTCGTCGTCGTCGTCGTCGTCGTCGTCGTCGTCGTCGTCGTCGTCGCCGCGCTCCCAGGAGCCCACGAAAGTGGAGACAATTGAGCAGTTTGCAGCCCTCCGACAGAGCCGCGAGGTCTCGAAGTGATCTGCGCTGCCCTCACCTCCGCCGTGCCTCCCATGAGCCCACGAAAGTGGAGAAAACTGCGCAGTCCGCAGGCACCGACCGAGCCGCGATGTCTTGAATGATCTGCGCTGCCGTGCACTCCGCCGTGCCTCCCATGAGCCCACGGAGGTGGCGACAATTTCGCAGTTCGCAGCCCCCGAGGCAGCCGCGAGGTCTCGAAATGATCTGCGCTGGCCTCACTCCTCCGCCGTGCCAAATGGCAAAGCTGCGCAGCCCGCAACCCTCTGGACGTCCATTGCCCGTGCAGTTATCGCTTACGTGCGAATTACATTTCGCACGATGATCCAGAATGGTCCTCGACGGTCCTCGCCGAGAAGACATGCGCACGCCCAATCGATGCCAAGCGAAACGTCACTCTTACGTGTAGTCGACTCTGCGCGCGGCCGAGAGAATGGAGGAGCAAAAAACGGCATAGACATAAACTTTTGACGGTCCGCTCGGATTTCCTGGATCTGAGCTGGACCCTCCTCCCTGGCGCGCGGAGCGTGCCAGGGGCGGCGCCGAAGGCGCCGCCAGGGCACCCCCAGTGCAAATCCAAGAAATCCGCGCGGACCGCCAAAAGTTTATGTCTATGGCAGGTTCTCGTCGTGTCGACACCGTCGTTGGTTCCTGACACCGCGGTGATCGTTCAAACTTGAACGATCGGTCCTTTCAAAAAAGCTGGATCCTTCAAAGATGGGCCGATTCTGGGCCACAGGCGGCGTTCAACCTTAAGCGCCCGCGCTGGGGTCGCCGCCGGTCGACACGACGCGAACCTGCCGTATGGTTTCTTCTTCTTCTTCTTCGGGAGAACCGTCCGCTATCTCGACCAGACCTCCGCCGCCGGCGCGCGGCGGCCAAGCGGCCGACCGAGGCCCCGACGCGAAAAAATGCGCACGCCCGAGCGATGCCAAGCGAACCCGCACTCTTACGTGCAGTCGACTCTGCGCGCGGCCGAGGGAACCGTCCAAGAGGCCCACGAAGAGAGGCCTCCTAGATGGGGTCCGAGTAGATAGAGTAGAAGGATCGCGCCGCATCGCCGATGCATCGCCAATGCATGGGCGATGCGTCGGTGATGCACCGGCGGTGCTTGCGACGCACCGGCACCGTCGGCGAGGGAAAGTCCTGGCTCTCCACATTGAGGCGCACCGCCGATGCATCGGCGATGCGGACTGATCCCTAAGGATTCCAAGGAATTCCTGAGGATTCCTAGGAATTCCTAAGGACTCCTAGGAATTCCTAAGGATTCTCAGGAATTCCGAAGGATTCCTAGGAATCCCGAAGGATTCCTAGGAATTCTTCAGGATTCCTAGGAATTCCTAAGGACCCCATCTGGGAGGCCTGGAACGAAGGACCCCCGCTGTCTCGACCGGCCCTCCCTCGCCGGCGGGCGGCGGCCCAGCGGCCGACCGCTGCCTCGATGTGGGGAAGCCAAGGGGACCCGACACCGCCGCTCCCCGGACCTCGGCCCCGAGGTGCGTCCTGACCGAGACGTCGTCGACCTGTGGGTGCCTCCTCCCCCTCCTCCTCCTCCTCCTCCTCTCCTCCTCCTCCTCCTCACTCCTCCTCCTCCTCACTCCCCTTCCTCCTCCTCCTCTCCTCCTCCTCCTCCTCCTCCTCCTCCCCGCCTCCTCCTCCTCCTCGTCCTCCTCCTCCTCACCTCCTCCTCCGCCTCCTCCTCCTCCTCCTCCTCCGCCTCCTCCTCCTCCTTCCCCTCCCATCCTACCCTCCTCCTCGCCCTCCTCCTCCTCTCCTCCTCACTCCTCCTCCTCCTCCTCCTCCATCCTCCTCCCTCCTACCTCCTCCCCCTCCTCCTCTCCTCCTCCTCCTCTCCTCCTCCTCACTCCTCCTCCTCCCTCCTCCTCCTCCTCCTCCTCCTCCGCTCCTCCTCCTCCTCCTCCTCACTCCTCCTCCTCCTCCTCCTCCTCCTCCTCCTCCTCCTCCTCTCCTCCTCCGCCTCCTCCTCCTCCTCCTCCGCCTCCCTCCTCCTCCTCCTCCTCCTCCTCCTCCTCCTCCTCCTCCTCCTCCTCCACCTCTCCTCCTCCTCCTCCTCCTCCTCCTCCTCCTCCTCCTCCTCCCCCTCCCCCTCCCTCCTCTGGCCGACGGGCCCTCCGCCGCCCGCCGCCCGCGGCCGAGCGGCTGGGCGGCCTGGCGGCGGCCGTGGGGGGTGAGCTGGCCGCGAGCGCGGCCAAGGCGTCGCCCGTGCGGCCCGGCGCCGCGGGCGGAAGGGCGGCCGCGGGGGCGCCCGGGAGGCCAGAGCCTGCGGCGACGAGGAAGGGTCCAGGAGATCCTGGCGCTGCAACTTCTCACGACGGGCGTCTTCGTTCAGATTCGGGCCCCGGGACTCTCGCAGCTCGTTCCGGCTCGAAGAATGACGGCCAGGGCTCCGGCCGTGATCTTTTGCGAGGTTGCAATTTCTCTGCAACGTCGGATCTCAGTGGATGTCATTGTCGGTGTCGAGCGAAGTGGGGGAGTGAGAAAGAAAAGGCTCTCTCAGAAGGCGGCGGGACTTCTCAAAGCCCTCCGGCCTTCTGAGACGCTTCCTGTGTCTTCGGAGAGGGGTTAGAAAACTTCTCCGAAGGCTGGGAGACTTCCAAGCCTTCTGAGAAGGCCTTCTCCTTCTCACTTCTGCCCCTCGCTTGCCGCCTTCTACGCCACGAAGAAATGTACAGTCAAAACTGGCAGTGAGGATGCGCGGTAAGGATGCAGGCCCCTCCCACGGATGCCTGTGTCGAGGCTCTTTGAGCGGGGCTGGCGATCGAACGGGGTAAGGATGGACCGAGGAGGCAAGGATGGACCGAGGAGGATGTCACTGGGCGGTGACATTTCCAGACTTTTGGGCGACGAAAGTGGGAGGAGGAGAAGGTGGAGGAGGAGAAGGTGGAGGAGGAGGAGGAGGAGGAGGGGGAGGAGAGGATGTCACTGGGTGGCGACGTTTCCAGGCATCTGGGCGACGAAAATGAAGTGGGTCGTTCGCGAGATGGCATAACAACCTTATGCCGCGGCGTACGCGGGCCGCCAGCGCGGAACGCTACACTGAAGCGAGGGCGCTCACGCGCGACCTTGCGCGGGCAGCTTACGCGCCAATGTCAGTGACTGATGTTGCTGCAAGTGCCCTTTACCCAAGGTGCCCCCAGGATTTCCAGGGAGGCCCCCGCGGCTTCCAGAGCACCCCTCACGAAGGAACTCCCAACATGGAGCGAAACGCTGGGGGCACCTTGGGCCAGGGGCACCTTTCGCAACCTCGGAGGTGTCACTGGGTGCCGACACTCCCGGGACTGAGACGAAGCCAAGACGAGGATACCATCGGACGAGGATGAATCAGGAAACTCCGAGACTTGGCTGTCCTCGAGGATGCATCGGGCGCCGCGGCTTTTCGCCCTGGAGTGGCACCCCCAGACATGCCGCGCATAGCAGCAGGACTCGGGGCTGAGGTTTTGCCTACAAGTTTGGCCTCTGGGCGGCCTCACCGCGCCCCAGGACCGTCCACAGACGGCTCGGGATGAGACGCTGGCTCTGGGGAAAGGGCCGGGACTTCCAGGGAAGCCGCGTCGAAAAGATCCACGTCGCATGTCCGGGCCCAGCTCTGCCCTCACTAACCATCGATTCTCCTGAATCGATGGAGGCGGGTGGTAGGGTTCGGACTTCGACACGT